TCATCATCATCATCTTCCTCATCATCCTCCTCTAAGGAAACCGCAGTGGCCTCTTTGCCATAGGAGATATTGGCTGCCTGCATATCCCACACTGCTAGCTGCCAGAGACAGGAGATATAACCAGGTCACAATCAGCAGCACGTTGTATTTGGTTGCAAACTGAGGTGACAACATGACTTTATTTTTTACTTTCATTTCATTACCTTAAGTCTGAACCGGTGTGCAGACAGCTTAGGCGCGCTCACGTTATTGACGTTATTGACGTTATTAGCAGAAAATGGACGCAGTGTCCGCACTGATACTTCACTGGCAGAGAAAAACCTCTGTAAACCAACACTTCTTGAACAGGTCGACTGGATCGGACTCAACAGGACGCGGCCGATGAGCATGACACACAAACTTAAAGCTAACGTGCAACGGGACGTAAACAGCTGGCTAACTGAACAGATGTTACAGCTAACTACAGAAAAAATGAGCGAATATACGCCTACAGGTCTGTTCGGAATAGTTACCGATGAGAAACCTCCAGAGACGGACTTTGCCCGACTGTAGTGAACACCTGTTGAAGGGAATCAAACAGGCAGCGGAACATCTGTGGAGCTGTTAGCTAACTGTTGGCTGGCGGTCTCTGACAGAGTCGGACAGCTCATTAGTCAAACTAACCGCGATAGCATCGGGATAAGTTGTCATCACGTTGGTTGTGCAGAAAGCTCCCTGGCGGAAGTCATTGTAAATAAAAATACAAACAAATGACAGTTAGCTCCACGGCACGCGCTAAATTAGAATGCCGACCGGAAGCTGCTTCTGTTTGTAAACAATGTCGAACTTCCGGCCTGGTTTTTCAGAGCAAAAGAGCTTTTCACTTTCCAGGATAAAAGCATCAGGCACTATTACTATTAAGCGTTATTATTAACTTGAATAATGAATCAGTTGTTTTGGTGAATGTAATACATTTAATCCAATAGGTGGGACTGTATTTAGGTGAGGTGAACTACCTCTAGTCAACTGATTTAATTAGCAGTATTTCTTATTATTAATTGATGACCGAATCAAAATAAATCTGCATCCAAACTATCCTTACAGTATAAAACATACATGAGCCAGGTTCCTGTGTTTGGTCACATATGAAGCTGTTAAAACAGATTAAAATGTTTTAAAACGACCACATACAAAATGATTAGACCCATACTTGCAGTTTATTTAAAGTATTGGAATATTAATTATCACACCGTATATGCTTTCTGCAACCAGATTTTACAATAAGGTACAGACAAATTGCCAATTCATGCTTTATCTTTATTTTTACATCAGTTGTTAAGTATCTGTCCAAGATAAATAAACAACCCTTTGGCTAGTT